CTCTTCCTAATTCATATTTTATCTAAATTTTTAGGTGTATAAATTAGACAGTCTTTTCTTAAAATATATGAACTTCTGAGTAATTCATAAACAGTCCTCAGGGAATATTCTCTGAAATTTTACATAAAATTTTGTTTGTACATAGATGTAAATGCATTTTTCTGATATGGTCTCATAATAGGTTCATGATCTAAAAAATGACTGAGAGGCACTAAATTCTTAAGTGATTTCTATGTCTCTTGTATTGTGCTGATGATTATTATGATGTTCTAATCTTTTATTAAATCTTACTATTTGTATATTCACTAATTTGTCTCTCCCTTTTTCTTATTCTGTCTACTCTCCCCCCACCATAGGTCCTCCTGTAAGTATATTTGCTGCATTCTGGCTCCTCTACGTTAATCAAATCACGTATGTTAAAACTGTTAAAACATCAAAATATACTCTATATTTCAATTAGAAAAATGTTGCTGACCTTTTTAAGAGTATTTAACTGTGGGACATTTTTAAGTATACTGTTTTGTGATCATGTGATATGTAGGAGTGCAATATGTGTCAATTAATAAAAAACTTTTATTTCTAATACGATCACAAACCAATTACTGTCTTGGGAATTTTGGAATAACTTATGAAGCTTCTGATATTAAATGCTTTTCCTGAAATACTGAGGTTTCTTTGCGAGCAAACCCTCAAGCTCTTTCACACTTCTTTTTTCATTCGTTTAAGCTTGTATCTGAAATATTTGCATTTGCCAGTTCACGAAATGTAGATGGCAACATGATCGTGGAAGTGATACCCCCGGTGGGCTTGGTTCAGCGCTCTTTCCATAAGCAACACTCCCTTTGAAGTCCCTTGGAGTTTTGCCTGCATAAAGAGCTTGAGTTGGAGCCCTTGGAGAGTTGCACTTTCTTTTTTCTTTCCTTGTGTAGGTCATGGCTGCAGCATTCCAGACTGCTTTGTACTCACAGGAACAGATTATCTTGTCAGCTTTGAGCTAGATGTGTTTTTGAGTAATATCCTGGATATCTGTAGTCTGACCCCGGTGCCGTACTGTGCTCTGTACGTTTACGGTAGCAATGATCATTGCCCTGGAGATATTTTCTCATCCCGAATAGTCGGTTTGCTCCAGGGTTCACAGACTCTGCATTGGCAACTTCTCTAACAGGCCAGCATGGTCCAGGGAGAGGGGCTTAGCATATACTCGTTTACTTTATTCACAGGAAGCATTGGCTTCCAAATATCTTTTGCAGTCTTCCTGCCACGTTCAAGGACGGAACATAAATCATGTTAGAAATGACTTTGCTTCTGTAACTGACTTTCAGCTCTTGCTTAATGCTAGGCAGATGGCATGCCCCAGGTCTAGGAGCCTTATTCTTTGGCTTCATATTTAAGACTGTCTTTAAAACTAGAGACAAACCACTGCTACCCAAAGGAAACTCTGGAGATTACATCCAGAATAGAGCGTTCAAGGCTTCTTTTTGTGGAGGTAAGTATTAGGCAGGCCAAGAGGCAGTTAAATCTCATTTCTGCCTTATGATATTGAGGTTTCTAGTATTCCTGTTTGGTCCTTCACAAGTTTAGAAACCCATATGGCTTTTGCTTTCAGGGGGCCATCTATTAGTCAGGTTCCCACCTAGAACATTTCAATTGCTTTTTCCTTTTCTTATTATATACTAAAAAGGAGGACTAATATGTTTTAAGCCCCTGTGTGTGTATGGCAGGCAGCATTCTAGGCACTTTACGTACATTTATTTTGTCTCTGATGCTACCATCCCCATTCCCATTAATGTCTCTAAACATTACCATTGTCAACAAGGAAACTGAGGCTCATAGAGGTTAATTATCAATGGCTGTACAGCTAAAGAGGGTTTGCAAAGTTGGAATTCAGTTAGATATGTCTGACTGTAAATGCTTTCTGCTTACCACGTTATCGTTCTCCCTTGAAATTGTAAGTATATTATAATATGGCTCATTGTTACACAGGTTTGGCTAGCCATGGGTCAAATTGTATTTCTTTTTCTTATTGAAATATAGTTGATTTACTATATTATATTAGTTTCAGAGGTACAACATAGTGATTCAATATCAAATTATATTTCTTGATATAAATAATTACATATAATAAAAGCATGACCAAAAAATGTAAAATGGCTAATCTATACAATAAGCATTAATACTACGGCATCTCAGATGGATTTTAAAGAAGTTATAATGTGTTTAGCAAATTGCATCAGATCCAAGAAATAAGGTATATGTAATTATGAGGTTTTCTTTTGTGTTCTTTTTTGTGTTATTTTTGTTTTGTTTTAAAATTTTTATTGGAGTATAGTTGATTTACAATGTTGTGTTAGTTTCTGCTGTACAGTGAAGTGAATCAGTTATACATATATATATTTCCCTCTTTTTTTTTTTTTTTTTTTTTTTTTTGCGGTACGCAGGCCTCTCACTGTTGTGGCCTCTCCCATTGTGGAGCACAGGCTCCGGACGCGCAGGCTCAGCAGCCATGGCTCACGGGCCCAGCCGCTCCGCGGCATGTGGGATCCTCCCGGACCGGGGCACGAACCCGCATCCCCTGCATCGGCAGGCGGACTCTCAACCACTGCACCACCAGGGAAGCCCTCCACACTTTTTTTTATACTGACTAAAAGATAACTCGAGTTAAGTTGCTCACATTTGATAAGATAAAAAACCATTGATTGTGAAAAAGAGAAAAAACATATATATTCATTGTGCTACCTTTACTAATACAATGGGACTCCGTATCATGGGAGCCCTTAGGGGTGAAATACCTTGTAATGAAATCCTCTTAAGCCTCCAATTTCTAAACCCCCATGTATGATTTGCAAGGTATTGTATTTGCTTTTCATCAAATTTTCCTTTAGAGTAGGTGGCTTGATAAAATATTTCCATTATATTTCTTTTGTTGTTGTTGTTATACAGCCGGTTCTTATTAGTTATCCATTTTATACATATTAGTGTATATATGTCAGTCCCAATCTCTCAATTCATCACACCTCCCCCTGTACCCCCCCACTGTCCCCCCTTGGTATCCATACGTTTGTTCTCTACCTCTGTGTCTCTGTTTCTGCCCTGCAAACTGGTTCATCTGTACCATTCTTCTAGGTTCCACATGTATGCATTCATACACGATATATGTTTTTCTCTTTCTGACTTACTTCACTCTGTGTGACAGTCTCTAGATCTATCCAAGTCTCTACAAATGACCCAATTTCATTCCTTTTTATGGCTGAGTAATATTCCCTTGTATATATGTACCACATCTTCTTTATCCATTCATCTGTCGATGGGCATTTAGGTTGCTTCCATGACCTGGCTATTGTAAATAGTGCTGCAGTGAACATTGGGGTGCATGTGTCTTTTTGAATTATGGTTTTCTCTGGGTATATGCCAGTAGTGGGATTGCTGGGTCATATGGTAGCTCTACTTTTAGTTTTTTAAGAAACCTCCATACTGTTCTGCATAGTGGCTGTTTCAATTTACATTCCCACCAACAGCGCAAGAGGGTTCCCTTTTCTCCACACCCTCTCCAGCATTGTTTGTAGATTTTCTGATGATGCCCATTCTAACTGGTGTGAGGTGATACCTCATGTAGTTTTGATTTGCATTTCTCTAATAATTAGTGATGTTGAGCAGCTTTTCATGTGCTTCTTGGCCGTCTGTATGTCTTCTTTGGAGAAATGTCTATTTAGGTCTTCTGCCCATTTTTGGATTGGGTTGTTTGTTTTTTTAATATTGAGCTACATGAGCTGTTTGTATATTTTGGAGATTAATCCTTTGTCTGTTGATTCATTTGCAAATATTTTCTCCCATTCTGAGGGTTGTCTTTTCGTCTTGTTTATGGTTTCCTTTGCTGTGCAAAAGGTTTTAAGTTTCATTTGGTCCCATTTGTTTATTTTTGTTTTTATTTCCATTACTGTAGGAGGTGGATCAAAAAAGATCTTGCTGTGATTTATGTCAAAGAATGTTCCTCCTGTGTTTTCCTCTAAGAGTTTTATAGTGCCCAGTCTTACATTTAGGTCTCTAATCCATTTTGAGTTTATTTTTGTGTATGGTGGTAGGGAGTGTTCTAACTTCATTCTTTTACATGTAGCTGTCCAGTTTTCCCAGCACCACTTATTGCGTAGACTGTCTTATCTCCATTGTATATCCTTGCCTCTTTTGTCATAGATTAGTTGACCATAGGTGCATGGGTTTATCTCTGGGATTTCTATCCTGTTCCATTGATCTATATTTCTGTTTCTGTGCCAGTACCATATTTTCTTGATTACTGTAGCTTTGTATTATAGCCTGAAGTCAGGGAGTCTGATTCCTCCAGCTCCATTTTTTTCCCTCAAGACTGCTTTGGCTATTTGGGGTCTTTTGTGTCTCCATACAAATTTTAAGATTTTTTGTTCTAGTTCTGTAAAAAACGCAATTGGTAATTTGATAGATATTGCATTGGATCTGTAGATGGCCTTCGGCAATATAGTCATTTTCACAATATTGATTCATCCAATACAAGAACATGGTATATCTCTCCATCTGTTTGTATCATCTTTAATTTCTTTCACCAGTGTCTTATAGTTTTCTGCATACAGGTATTTTGTCTCCCTAGGTAGGTTTATTCCTAGGTATTTTATTCTTTTTGCTACAGTTATAAATGGGAGTGTTTCCTTAATTTCTGTTTCCTTATTAATTTTCTGTTTGGATGATCTGTCCATTGGTGTAAGTGAGGTGTTAAAGTCCCCCACTATTATTGTGTTACTGTCAATTTCTTCTTTTATAGCTGTTAGCAGTTGCCTTATGTATTGAGGTGCTCCTATGTTGGGTGCATATATATTTATAATTGTTATATCTTCTTTTTGGATTGATCCCTTGATCATTATGTAGTGTCCTTCCTTGTCTCTTGTAACATACTTCATTTTAAGGTCTATTTTATCTGATATGAGTGTTGCTACTTCAGCTTTCTTTTGATTTCTTTTTGCATGGAGTATCTTTTTCCATCCCCTCACTTTCATTCTGTATGTGTCCGTAGGTCTGAAGTGAGTCTCTTGTAGACAGCATATATATGGGTCTTGTTTTTGTGTCCATTCAACGAGCCTGTGTCTTTTGGTTGGAACATTTAATCCATTCACGTTTAAGGTAATTATCGATACTTTTGTTCCTATTACCATTTTCTTAATTGTTTTGGGTTTGTTTTTGTAGGTCCTTTTCTTCTCTTTTGTTTCCCACTTAGAGAGGTTCCTTTAGCATTTGTTGTAAAGGTGGTTTGGTGGTGCTGAATTCTCTTAGCTTTCACTTGTCTGTAAAGCTTTTGATTTCTCTGTCATATCTGGATGAGATCCTTGCTGGGTAATCTTGGTT